CTACAGTCAGTGGCACTGCCCCGGGGGGACACTACAGTCAGTGGCACTGCCCCGGGGATCACTACAGTCAGTGGCACTGCCCCGGGGGTCACTACAGTCAGTGGCACTGCCCCGGGGGGACACTACAGTCAGTGGCACCACCCCGGGGGTCACTAGAGTCAGTGACACTGCCCCGGGGGGACACTACAGTCAGTGACACTGCCCCGGGGGTCACTACAGTCAGTGGCACTGCCCCGGGGGGACACTACAGTCAGTGGCACCACCCCGGGGGTCACTAGAGTCAGTGACACTGCCCCGGGGGGACACTACAGTCAGTGACACTGCCCCGGGGGTCACTACAGTCAGTGGCACTGCCCCGGGGGGACACTACAGTCAGTGGCACTGCCCCGGGGATCACTACAGTCAGTGGCACTGCCCCGGGGGTCACTACAGTCAGTGGCACTGCCCCGGGGGCAATCTGTCTTCACTGCCATCACTGAAGCGAGGAGCAAAAACATCTGGCAAAGGGACTCAAAAGCTAAGCACAAGCAATAAGGTTAGTGTTTTACGCATGTTACATGTGTCCATTGGTGTATTTTTGTTTCATGTGTGCGTCATTTATTGCTCAGGAGTGAGCTATATTCTTCCCCTCTCTTCAGTCCATCCTAAACACTTTTTTTTTAAATTGGAAAGCAGACCCCTGTCTCACGGACAGAAGCATATCTGGGCCATAAGAGATACTTTAAGATAAAACAGACTTTAAAATGCATGTTTATTACTCCTTTGCCAGAAGCTATACGGGCCGACAGATGAACTGAGCAGGACGGCCCAATTTATGACAGATACCAGACTTCAAGTGTGATGCGATCGAGAAGAAGAAGAAGAAGACTCCTTTGCCCTTGGAAGGGCAGGGGATAATGACTGTATTAAAATTGCATGAGTTTTTTACTAATCTCATTCACGTTTTAGTAAGAATTTCATCGATCAACTTTACGGGCCATTTTCTCAGCTTTTACTTTTCTACCCCCGCGTCATTCAGAAGGGCTTCTTATCTCTCGTTCTAATGGATGAATTTGGTTGAAATAAAGAGTAAAATGCTCACAGTTGAATGTAGTATAAGAAAAAGTTGTTATCTAAAAATCTTTATCTGGACTGTTAACTCACTTCAGACGATTCACACAACAGTTGCGTGACCCCCGCCGTGACGCTCGCG